AAGATGTGGTCTTCTCTGCCCCGCTGTTCAGCTCAGATAAGTAGCGTTAGCATCACTTTCCACTTTCAAACTAAAAGCACTTTAATAACTTTAATAACAACTGACGATAGAAAACAGTAATTTCAAGTAATTGCACCCAGTGGCCAAATCTTCGTCCACTGAGGATACTTGGTTTCACTGCTCATGTTCTTAGTCCTCTGTGCCCAGGTCCAGACAACTAGGCCTCTCTCCGAACCCCAACCTGACCACTGGAAATTATTTTATACATTTTACATAGCAATGAAGACAATTAAGATTAAATATGACAGTAAACTATTATTTAATTGTCCTGTCATCCATGTTAATATCTCTGAATTAATTCCTCAAATTCAGTTTTTGCAAACAATATTGGCAAGTTTTTCCCCCTGGTTCACAAGTGTTGTGTGAACTAATATTTGTAAATGTATTAGCGGTCTGTAAGTGATTCATTTATTAAACTTAGTTTCCTGCTTCTATTGCCCTGTAAACTTTTTATTTTTTGACTGATCTGTATTGAATTTTCAAAACTGCAGGCCAGTAAACGTGTGTGAGTGTGTGTGTGTGTGTGTATGTGTGTGTGTGTGTGTGTGTGTGTGTGTGTGTGTGTGTGTGTGTGTGTGTGTGTGTGTGTCTACAGGAAATGATAAATGGCTTATTTCGATCTCTCAGCTGTTGAGCCTTCAGCCCGTTTATACAAGCCAACGACAAGGGCTTTGTCAGCAGAAACAAATGATCTATCAAAACACACACACACACACACACACACACACACACACACACACACACAGCTTGGTCAGTGTTGAGTATGATGGATTGGACCTGAGGTGTGTCTTGTCTGGGTTATTGATAGACAGGTATTGGAGTGGCAGCATGAAATATTAATAGAGTGGAGCTAAACGCCGATCTGACAAAGAATGAGAAGGAGAACGAGAAGGGCAAAGAGAGAGATGTATGAAATGCAAAAATGCAATGACAAGAGCTGTTCCTGAGGGATTACAACATGAAGAAGTGATGAGTACCATTAGAAAGGCAAAGCACTCACATACATGTGTCTGAGAATTCAAAATATGTCTGATATCAGTATCAAATTTTTCTTTTCTCAATGGAAATTCCCTCCATCCTTGATACATTTCACAAACACACACACTCAAATCTTTCTCTCTCTCTGTTTCTGTCACTCTAACCCACATCCTGTTGTGGTTCTTGTTCTCTCCTCTGCTTTGATATCTGAGAGCCGCTGACTTACGTGGACAGACAAAGCGCACCTTTGTCTTTGCCACACTGCAAGAGTGTTTGTCATCATTTTGTGCAATCTATGTTTTGCATGTGTGTTTGACTGTGTCCAGGTTCTTCCTACCATAATGCCAGCAAGACACAAACACACACACATGCATACACACACACACACACACACACACACACACACACACATACACACGCACACACACACAGACACACACACACACACACCAATCTCTTACCAACAATTTGTCCTCAGTATTACATCTAAACTGACGAAGAAGGATGAAACATACCTCAGCTATTAGATGCAGAGAGGGCATATTAATACACAAGTTTGTGTGTGTGTGTGTGTGTGTGTATTGACGCAGCACTGCAGCACAATCTATACTAATGATTTCCCATAGACACCTCAAGTTGATCTGGGAAGGGAGGGAGAGAAGTCAAAAGAGACGAATGAAGAGATTGAAGGACAGAAATACTAAAGGAAGAAGGAGGCAGCATAGAGAAAAGTAAGGAGGGTATAAGTACCAGTAATGCGAATCCACAATTAACAGTTGAAACAATGTGGGCTAAGATTTTCTACTTTTTGCTGAGAAAGTGGCACCTATTATTATAATTTACATATATATACAGTATGTGTGTTAGAAAACAAAGTAATTTCATCCAGTGACCAAATCTTCGTCCACTGAGGATACTCGGTTTCACTGCTCATGTTCTTAGTCCTCTGTGCCCAGGTCCAGACAACTAGGCCTCTCTCCGAACCCCAACCTGACCACTGGAAATTATTTTATACATTTTACATAGCAATGAAGACAATTAAGATTAAATATGACAGTAAACTATTATTTAATTGTCCTGTCATCCATGTTAATATCTCTGAATTAATTCCTCAAATTCAGTTTTTGCAAACAATATTGGCAAGTTTTTCCCCCTGGTTCACAAGTGTTGTGTGAACTAATATTTGTAAATGTATTAGCGGTCTGTAAGTGATTCATTTATTAAACTTAGTTTCCTGCTTCTATTGCCCTGTAAACTTTTTATTTTTTGACTGATCTGTATTGAATTTTCAAAAACACACCAATCTCTTGCCAACAATTTGTCCTCACACACACACACACACACAAACAAACTTGTGCATTATTCCCTCTCTGCATCTAATAGCTGAGGTATGTTTCAACATTCTTCGTCATTTTAAATGTAATACTGATGACAAATGAATGAATTTGATGAATTAATTCAGAGATATTAACATGGATATATATGTATATATATATATATATATATATATATATATAACCTTAATAGTCTGTGTTTCTGCTAGTGTGTGTGTGTGTGTGTGTGTGTGTATGTGTGTGCGTGAGTGTGTGTGTGTGTGTGTGAGTGTGCATATGTGTGCTTGAGTCCGTGTGAGTGTTTGTGAAGCCTGGAACCTGCACAGAGGAATTTCCTCCAATCACCTCACATTGTTCAGACTAACAAGGAGTCAAAGACGACAGAGCAGGACAGAAACACTCCACACCCTTCAGGGTGTCTCTGAGGAACCATAAGCACTTCCAGGTCAAAAGGCCAGCAGGATGATCTCACGGGCAATGAGAGGAGCAGACACACATACTGTACAAAACTCCCCTTCAACAGGTCATTATGCCAGAAATTATGTCTTGAAATTGCATATTTCTTAAATTTCATCATCGCTGCCATATATCAACACCTCTGGTAAAAGCTCACAGTAGCCCAGTCGTCCTCTGAAGGACATTCTGACCTTTACAGCAATGATAATAAAAGATAAAAGTAGCTAGAGAGCATCTGTGTTTATCCTCTTTGGTTTCTCACGCCTGACAGAAGGAAATCACTAATAGTAAAGCAGGGGTAAGAAAACAGAGCAGAGGTAGAGAAAATGTCAGGGGCGGTGTTGAGACAAGTGAAATTTCCTTTTCCATCCATTTTATTTAATGATTTCAATTTCGCCCTGTGAGATGACTGATGCTCCTTACTTTAATATGGTACTGACCTGCTGCCAAAGTCCTCACTAACGCTATCTTTCCCTTTAACAAGTCACCAAACTGGTCAAAGCTATAAAGCTGTGGTTGTACAGGAAAATACAAAATTAAGTCAACAAATCCAATATCTTGTCAGAAACATTCACAGTTTTCTATGAAAACCACGAACTAAGTTTTCAAAAACGCAGCATGACTTCAGCTTCTTAAAGCTGCATTAATGTATTTTTGGCCACTAGGGGGCAGAAAACTCCTAAAACAGGCTGAGAGATACATCCATCCCTTTGGTTTGAGTCCAGAGCCTTTCTTGATGTGAGGCGACAGGCGATATGAGCGACAACCACTGCACCACTCTTGACAGATACACAGACAACGTCACCATTACTCTGTGTATGTAGGTACACTGGTAATGTTGCTGAGGAAGTCCCAAGCCATGTCTGTGAAGGTTGACAAAAATATATCAGTGTTTTAAAAGACTTGTTTTCCCCATCCACGCCACTATGTGAGATTTCAAGATTGATCACCTGTGGAGAGTGTTTCAAAAAGCTAAGCTAATTTTTAGAGGTGGACATGAGTAGATAGAAGGACAGAAATGCAGAGGTGAAAATGTCTTTTTATTTTGTTTACGGTTCTGTGTTAAGGAAACAACCATGACGAGGGCTGTGACCTACACTTAGGTAGGTGGTGGTATAAGGCTGCAGAGGGACTGAGTGTGTTTATACTGTACATGAGTCTAAGCACTCATAATCACATGACCCTGTTTTGTGCAGCATATGTATGTGCGTGCTATGTGTGTGTGTGTGTGTGTGTGTGTGTGTGTGTGTGTGTGTGTGTGTGTGTGTGTGTGTGTGTGCATGCTATCAAGAGGAAGCCATTGTAACTTGGTCAGGGGGAAACCTCCACTTTAGCTGCAATTGTTCAGCCCTTCCTGGCTGTTACAGAGGAAGAGCAGACTCCATCACTGTCACACTCTTTCTCTGCCTTGCTTTCTCCCTCACCCTCTTTCTTCTTTTCCACTTGTTTGAGCCACTTATTTTTATCTTCTCCCTTTTTTTTTTAACTCATTCTTGACCTCCTCCATCTGCAATAATGTAACTAAAATATCCCTGCACTATTAGGAAGTAGTCACTCTGCTTTTGGTAGATATGAAGATAGAGATACAACATGAATTCACAAGAAAAATAAAAAATGTCCTCTGATTTTGCATATGTCAGATTTCATCACAGTTACCTTAACACACACTTACACAGAAATGCTTTATATAGATGTCAGTTATGTTATGCTGCCATCTATTGCCTAAGACACGCAATGATAGGTTACAACAGCAGCATTTGCAGTAAAAGCACGTAACTTTTCAGACTGTGGAATTTCAAACCTTCTTGTTAGTAATTTAGGGGTAATCAGTAATTAATGACATTGAATTCATTCCTTAATGCCTGTAGTTTCATACCATTGTTCTTACTGCAAAGACTGGAACATTTGCTCATTAACACACAGACGTTTAACAAACTTTTAGCTGGCGCCAGAGGGGATCTGTAATCTTTGGTTACTTGATTGAAGGTCGCACAGCTGCAGGTGCATGAACCAATAGGGGTGTTACATCAATCAGAGCTAATTAGATTCACCTGGGGCGGCTCTGCTACTTATATGCTCCCTGCGCAAGGTTTCATTAAGTTTTCATCAGTGTGAGTGAAGCAGTTCCGACGTGTTCGACGTGCTTAGGAAAAAGAAAAAAAGCAGTCCACCATGCCCACCAAAAACGTTATGGACGAGCGGATCGCCAAATTCAAAAACAAGGGGAAAGATCCAGCAGTAAGTTGATGTTAAATTATCAAATTATGTAGGCTTTTAATGCGATTTTTTTTTTTTTTTACCGACACTGCATATTGTCCACTTGCAGAAACTTCGTGATAAAAGGATCGCGGAGTGCGTGGAGCTGCGCAAAGCTCACAAGAATGAAAGTTTCCTCAAGAGAAGAAACATTACGCTGTCGTCTCTTCCGGATGAGGAGGCCCTCTCTCCCGACTACATCACTAACGAGATGGTTAGTTCACAGAGACCTCTAACAATTGAATTCAAACTAGTTTTAGTTTTAACATATTGCTTAACATTTATAGATCCCCTCTTATTCCATTGAGGAGATAGTTAAAGACGTGAACAGCGGCCGGATTGAGTCCCAAACCCGAGGCTGTCAGGCAGCCAGGTGAGCCCTCAGTAATGATTATCTAATGTCTGTACTTCATTAGATGTGAATTCCTTTAACCCCTCTTATGTCATAAGTGACTACATTTGAGTTTTAGACTGTTAGTTGGGAAAATGTTTCTCTTGAAGTAAAGTTTCCTCCACCCGTTCCCCAGGAAGCTGCTTTCTCAGGAACGTAACCCTCCTCTGAAGGAGATCGTTGATGCTGGTCTGCTGACCCGTTTTGTGTCCTTCCTGTCGATGGACGATGAGCCGACTCTGCAATTTGAAGCAGCTTGGGCTCTGACAAACGTTGCCTCTGGAACATCTTGGCATACACAACAGGTGTCGACACTGTGTTTAAACCTGACGCACAACTATAGTCAACGTAATGTTTAATATGACTGTAACCATCCAGCTTCACAGTAACTTGGGTTCTCATGGTCCATGATGAACGTATGTCTTCAACATCTTGAATCTCTTTCAGAATAAACTGAAAATAAATCTATACTTCTGTCATCAGGTGGTGGAACATGGTGCTGTACCTGCTTTCATCGCCTTGCTGGCCTCACCAATGTTGCATATCAGTGAACAGGCTGTCTGGGCTCTGGGAAATATTGCAGGTAAAATGTTAAGTTAATGTCTTATGTTGCCATCATATTCAAATAAGACTTGAAATTAATACAACTGAGTGTTCAACAGAAAAAGTCCTAATGTTTCCAAAAGTACAAAATTTAAGTGGTTGTCAACCTTATAGCGCATTAACTAGGAATGTAACTGAGGTATGACGTTACTTGGATTCATATAGTTCAGATGTTAATGTGGTTTGTTTCACTGTAAAGGGCTCAGTGCAGAAAAATAAAGGCATTGATGGTGTAGCCAGAATTTGTGCATTTTACTGACTTGCTGTACTAATGTCACCAAATGCAACTCGAAGGCGACGGTTCGGCTTATCGAGATGTCCTGATTGAGTGCAATGTCGTCCCAGCCTTGCTGGCCCGTATATGCCCAGACACACCAGTAAGTCAAAACTTTACAAGACCAGCTCCAACTGTGCACTCAAAGTCTATAATTTGCCTGTTTCACTTGAGTGATGAATTTATCATAAATTGTTTTAAGAAAACTGGCTTACAAAACATTTTTTGCCATGTGCAGATTTACCTACATTTACACTGACTTCTCAAAAGGCCAACTGATGCAGCTTGGCGTACACCACCAATTTAGCATAGAACTCTTAACATTGTCAAACTCATGATGGACAGTTTAAATGTCTAAATTGAAGGAGAACAAAGTTAATCCCACATTCTTCTTCCATGTCAACTTGACTGGCAAATGTAGTAGTTGTTGTTGTTGTTGGCCTCAAGTCAAGATGAGTGGGCTACAGGTTTCTAAGGTCCACACCTCCAGATTTTATTTTCCAACATGAGTCCTCAGTCCAAACTGCTCTTGACTGAAATGACAACATGAGGCAATTCATCAGATTTCATATGGCTTCCTCTGAAGCCACCAAAGGTTTAACTTTCACATGTGCATGAGTCCTCAACGCCTGTAAACTGACTTTGTGTGATCAGTGATGTATCCCTTAGTGAAGTGAAACATTTTATCAGCTATGTGGTAGTAGTTTAACTTATGCTACTCTATAGTCCTGTTACTCATGATTTATCTCCCCAGGTTGGCTACCTGCGTAACCTAACATGGACTCTGTCCAACTTGTGCCGAAATAAGAACCCGTTTCCACCCTTGTCTGCAGTCCTACAGGTAAGTGACCCCCTACCCATCCCAGCTTGGTTCTTGCTGTTCTCCAGTCCAGAAAAGTGCCCACAATACCAGTGAGATGACTAATGTGCTGCACTTGTCCTTCAGGTGCTTCCCTCTCTGATCCAGTTGCTCCATCTCAGTGATAAGGACATCTTGTCTGATGCATGCTGGGCCATTTCCTACCTCTCGGATGGCGACAATGATCGTATTGATGTTGTAGTAAAAACTGGTGTTGTCCCCCGGCTGGTGGAGCTCATGAGCCATGAGGAGCTCATTGTCATGGTAGTGTGTTCTCAAACAGTAACGATCAACTGTCCTGTAGCAACCTGTACCAGTGAGGTAATCCAAGTGTACCTGCCAATGCTCATTTTTCCTGGGACTCTCCTGTATTTCAAGGTTTTTCTGGGGGGAAACTCCCATAATTTGCAGAAACTTCATGAGAAAACAATCTCACAGAAAAATCCCCCCCCACCTTGAAATGTGTTGGCAGGTATGAATCTAAATCACTTCTGACTTTTTTTTTTTTTTTTTTTTTTTTTTTTTTTTTTTTTTTTTTTTTTTCTCTTTCTTTCAACTTTACCTCCAGACCCCAGCCCTCCGCTCCATCGGGAACATAGTGAGTGGCTCTGACCTGCAGACCCAGATGGCAATTGATGCTGGAATTCTGAATGTCCTACCTCAACTTATGAGGCACCCAAAGGCAAGTGTGCAGAAGGAGGCAGCTTGGGCATTGTCCAATATTGCTGCAGGACCATGTAAGCAAATCCAACAGCTCATCACCTGCGGACTGGTCCCTCCTCTGGTAGAACAGCTTAGAAATGTGAGTACATCATGAACTGGGATTAGTTGGCATGTGAAACTACTTGTATAACAAATATGTAAAGGGCTTTCCACAGACGCATGTCACAGGTGTAAATCAAACTTGATGATGGCTGAGCTCATTTAGCTGTTTCAGTTTCAGGGTCCTGGTATTGTACATGTTGGCTCTTTGTTTTACTTACTAGAACAAAATGGAACAGAGCCCCTTAATGTTAATGGTGTCTGTACTTCTATCATGAATCCAATTTCTTCAACTAAGTTGAAACTTTATTCAGGGGCTTTATGACTTGAAATTTAACCAGCTACTTAATCTTTCTAAGCAAGAAATTTTTAAAATCATTGTACTTGTTTGTGACAGCACTACAGAGATGCAATGCCCCTCAGCTGCCTCAAATGACTGACTGAACTGACAAAATTGATTCAAATTCCTAATTGATTAAATTGTAGAAAGTTAAGTGACTGGAAATGGCTGTCTGGAGGCCAGTGTCTATACAAAGAGTGCACTAGAACATAAAGACCATGTGGGGTTTTTCTGCTTGTCTACATGGTGACATCTTACACATTGTTGCACTCCTGTGACAATCATCTTAAACAAACTTGCAACAGCCAAGAAAAACAGTGGGTCTTTAAATTTTTAGATATTTAGGGATAAGGAACACTTAATCCTTTTCTGAAAGGAAAAACATCATAGTTTTCACTGGTCGGTTTCAAATGTTAAGCAAGCAGGTGAACAATTCTATATATACATTTTTCTTCCCCCATCAGGGAGACTTTAAGACTCAAAGGGAAGCAGTATGGGCAGTGACTAACTTCACCAGTGGGGCCACTGTGGAGCAGGTGGTCCATATCGTGCAGAGTGGAGCCCTGGAGGCACTAATCAACCTTCTGCAGGTCAAAGATGCTAAAGTCATTCTGGTCATCCTGGATGGCATCAACAACATGTTCATGGTGAGGAGGGGGTGGGCCTCAGAGTTAACACTTGCATCCGAATAGTCTAAAACCTCAACTAGAACTCTGAAATGACCAGATATCAGATGGTTTCAGTTGCTGTGTGACTCCTCAGGCAGCAGACAAGCTCGGTGAGACGGAGAAACTTAGCCTGTTGGTTGAAGAGCTGGGAGGGCTGGACCGCATTGAGATGCTGCAGAACCATGACAATGAAATGGTGTACCAGGCTGCACATAACCTCATAGAGAAATACTTTGGTGATGTAAGTGGCTGATACATGGCAAATCGCATATCTAAGTTCTTTGCTGCATTAAGATAATTTGTGTCTGAAGGTGAAGTAATCCTTGTGGCACTCTTGGCAGAAGGGTTTTAGAAGTAATGTCTATTTGTAATTTTTGAAATTTCCCTTTTTTTTTTTTTTTTTTCTTTTTTCTTGTCCTTCTAGGATGACATTGAGGGAGTCAAGGTTGCCACTACTGACGATGCATTTGAATTTCAGTGCTCTGATGTTCAGAGAACCTTTGAATTTTAAACTCAACTTGTGTATTGTGTTTTTTAATTCATGTGGGGAAAATAAATAAATCTAAGACATTACATTCCATATTAGAGGTGTATCTGTCTCAAGCTGGTAAATAAACCAACAATAGGCCTCCTGGCTACAAGACTAAAATGTAAGACTGTATGTTGAGGTGGAACTGTATGTAAATTAAACTATAGCAAAGTCCTGACTAGCTGCAGTTCAGTTTCTAAGGGAAGGGGAGTTGGAAATGGTAAAACATGTTCCTGAGTTGACAGCCATATTCAGAAATTGATATCGTCGTCAGCATTTGTTAGTCTTTGAACCTTTTTTTGCCAGCATTGAAAATTCATCTGGTCTTTTGTCAGTCTGGAAATATTTAAACCATAAGGTCTGCGGCTTGTAGATAATGGTGGCATCTGTAGCTGCTAAAACTAACAAAATTGCTAATTAGGTACACCAAGCTAAAATGTAGTCTAATAGTTGTTCTACCTCATGAAGGTTGTCTTTGTCAAGTGACACTGAGTCACTGACTGTTTGGAGGATGTGGTTTGTCATTTATTTATTTATTTATTTTTTAAAAAAGTGGATTGTTTTTATTTGTACAGTTATAAGAAATGTGATCAGGGATTTCTGGAAACCCTTTTTAGACACTGGCACCACAACACTGTCAGCAGTTTCCATGTTGACTTTCTGTGTTAAGTTTTTCTTGCCCCAGGCTTTCAACAAGTTAGACCAAAACATGGATAGATCCCATGTTCAGTGTTTTATTCATTTGTGGTAACTGGCCCTTTTAACCTTGCAACTTCTTTCTTTCAGAACTGATAAAATAGCAAAAATTAGCAGGCTACAAAAAGAAAATCTGGGGACATTCTTGATGCATGCTTTTTTTTTTTTTTTTTTTTTTTTTAAATATATAAAATAAAAACACACCCTCCATGCCACCCTTTGCTCTCGCTCACCCTCGCTTTAAGACATCTGTTGTCCAGACTGAACACTTCACTGACTCTGACAGTTATAGCACCTGCTGCACCACTATCTGGTAAGATCAGTTATTTCATCTCACCTTTAGTTGGTAACATTTTTTGTTTGTGCATTATAAATATATTGAGTGGATGATTAGGCCATAAGCAATTTTTTTTACAGCTACTGTATCAAATCTGAGTGAATTTTTTTTTTTTTTTTTTTTTTTTTTTTTTTTAATTCAGATTCTATTGTAGAAAATTTCTGCTAATGGATTTATGGCCTGACTAATGTGATTTGTCTACCGTAAATAAGCAGAAGCCAGAATTGACTTTTTTTTTTTTTTTTTTCTTTCAGACCCTGCCAATCATGTTGAAGGATAACATGTCTATTTACTGTCTGCTGCCTCTGTATAAGGCCTCTAGATGCAAAAACATTAAGCTTACAGAAACATATGCAATACTATCCACTGATGTTGATATATTCCCCTAGCTTGTAAAAACTTCTGTAGCTTGAATGGTATTTGAAAATGACTTATGCTGATGCCTCCCTACATCCCGGTTTGAATAGATAACATAGCTGCATTTTTATATCAACGTTTACTATACTGTGTAGATTCAACATGAATTTGCCCTTTCATTAAAAACCACTTGAAACAATGTGGCCAGCTTTATTGTGGATTGTCTAAGAAAATTAGATTTCACTTAAGTTCTGTTTCCCAACTGTATAAAGTACATGTTGTTTTTCTACAGTTGGATGTTGAGACATCTCCACTGGAGGCTACAATGGAGCCATCTTTAACCTCTGATGATCTTGAAAAGGTTCAGAATATCACAAGACCACCCCACCACCTGCCAGGGAGCACCAGGGAAGGTCTGGACACCACATACACAAAACTTTGTGCCCATAAAGCCATGCAGAACATGGAAATGTACGACTCTCGTTTCAGTTCCACGCCCTCCACTTCCTGCTGTCGGACGCCATTGTCTTGAACTTTTGATATCATCACATCTGTCACTGAATGGTAGTTGAAGTGACTTAAATGTGCAACTTGTACAACTGCAAATCTGGCCAAGACAATTTAAGAATTAAGAATTTAAGAATATTTTTATTTACAATAAACTAAGCATAAGAGTGCAAAGCATGTGCAAATATTGTTTTTTAATGTGAGCTTTATTTGCCATAAAACATTTGAAGACTTTCCACAGACAAAAAAAGTTTATTTTCCTTAATATATTTTTCATAATTTATTAATGAGCATTTCTAACAAATGAAAAGTGACAAACCTACATCACAGCTGTGTGAACTTTTTCCATGAAATTTTTTTTTTTTTTTTACAAAGATATAAACATGTTTATTTTCAATCTCAGTCTTGAATAGATGATCTAAATAACCCCTGAGAAAACCCACAACACTGTTCCTTTATCATCACCAAGTGAATATCTGGACAATGACATCCTGTGTCTTTACTTGATAACAAATGGTATCAAACATTTATTCACAGAAACCAATATTTATTAGTCTGAAATCACACGCTTCAGCCCAGACTGAGATCTATGCACCACTAGATCTTTGTCCAATGACAGATGATAGCTGAATGTCTTATATTATAATTTAGAAGTTGATGTTATAGAATGCATGGTGAGATGGTCCCTAATAACGGCCAATTAAACCACCATATCCTTTATAACCTAATACAGTCAGAGTGAATAAGGCCACAAACAGTGATGAGAAGTGAGTGAAGAGTTTTAATCTTAATGCTAATATCTGTTTCAATAATAAAGAGAAAATTGCCCCACAATTCACTGTTTCGTTCAGATTTCAATATCATGCCTCCCTTCATTTGCCCAACATAGAAGGGAATTCCTAACAGGAAAAGAGGCAACAGGCATATAATCTACCGCAATACAGAATCAACGTTTACGCTGAGGTGAGGGACAGCCATTTAAAATACTATTACTACTGACCTAAAAAGTCTCTGTGTCACACAGAGTGATTTTGGCCCCCAGTAAATGATCAAGATGGAGTGTTTTATATATATTTATATAATAACAAAAAAATAGTAGTGGAGAGTTTGTGAGAGGCAAGGGTCTCCACAGAAGCACCAAACATCTTCTCCTTGTCAACTGTAACATTGTGTGTGTGTGTCTACATTTTCTCATAGTTGAGTTCATGTCCGCAGGTGGTGCAGGTTTTCTTGTAGAGGTCCTCCTCTGGATCTACCACCTCCTCCGGTCCATACTGATGTTGGTGAACGCTGGTGTCTTTGGTCCACATGCTACTCCTCACCGCCCTGCGCAGCTCTGACACAGACACACACAAATGTTGATGTTTAAACTCCACACAGTGTTACTGTAACTGACTTGGCATTTGGGAGTTTTGTCTAAAAAGGAAACCAACCTTTGACCTTCTTGTTGAAGCGTTTTTGTTTCTGCACCTCTCTATTCTCTTCCCTCGTCTCCCTGGCCTCCTCGAGAGCCTCCTCCGAACCCCACACCTCCATACATCTCTTCTCCACCTGGAGTGCACACACACACAAACACGTGAAGCAGACTCATGAATGCATAGCTGGGGCAAGAAAAACCTTATAGAACAATCAGGGTTATTTGGCCTTTGACCAAAAAGGTTCTGGCTTTAGTTTAGGAATACAACGATTTTTGGTTAACTTATTGATTATTTAGTCTTGATAAAATGTTGGAAAATTTCCTAGAGCCCAAGATTACATCTTCAATATCTTGTTTTGTCCAAGCAACAACTCAAAATCTGAAGATATGTTGCGGTGATATGAAGGACAAAAAAGGACAATGAAAGGACAGTAACCTCGACCTACAAACTCTTGGGACGAAAGTCAGTCAGAAGTTTTGAAATGCAATGTTTGCATTTTAGTGTTAATTTGCAAAATGTGCAACAGTTACTGTTTGTAATTTAGCACAGTGTGGTATAAGTTAGTGTGCACCTATTTAGTGCAGTTGTAATATGCTACATTATTTTTGAGATCATAATGAACACCTGCATTCTTCAGGCGTCAGTCATAGGAACCCCAATACCCCACACACACACACGCACGCACGCCACCTGTAGTTTGAGGTAGAGCTTCATATCTCCCCAGCGTGGGTTGTGAGGGTTTTTCTTCAGTATAAACCTGAGCGGAGGCTCTCGCTTATCCAGGTCACAGTTCTTCAGCAGGTAGTGCTGCATGGCCTCAGTTCTGGAGATCAGCTTGTGCTTCTCCTCATTGTCTCTGAAGAGAAAGATGCTTAAACTGTTAGTCTATCCGATCAAGAGATTCAAGGAGAAAGGACAGGAAAACAGAAAATGCCACTGTGTGCCTGGATATGTGCAACTTTCAGAATTTTAAATTTTTAAATTTAAGCCTAAATAAGCAGAAGATTACATGACATGTAGCCCATCTATGATGTAAACCAAATATTCAAATTGTAGTTGCTTTAAAATGGCAAAGACTTAAAGTGATCCGTTAGTCTTTACTTTGCACAAATATAAGAATAAAACATAATCCATTACTGCAGAGACAAACTGCTGTGGTGGGGAGGTTAAAAACACAGAGAAAGTTAAAAAAAAAAAAAAAAGTATGTAACAATGACTGTACAAATGAAATAATGCGATCATGAAAAACATTAGAGAAAAACTAACATGCTCATTGTGTGTGTACCTGCACTTGTCACACACAGACAGGTCAAAGCTGTTGCTGAGGTAGGAGTCCATAAAGGGTTTTTCACATTCATCACACACCAAGTAGTCTGGCTCAATCACCGGAGCTGGAATGAATGAATGAGAGAGTGTGAGAGAGAGTATGAGAATGTGTGTGTGAGAGAGAGAGAGAGAGAGAGAGGTGTTACTCAACACACAAGTAAATATTATATGCATGCACACACACACACCTGGCTGATGCACCACCTTCCTGGCTTTCTGCTCTTCCTCTCCGTCCTCCTCCTCGTCGATGAAAAACCCGGCTCCGGAGTCGATGGTCTTGGAGACTTTGGCCGAGGTTGCGCCCTCCACAGCAGACAAAGGGCGGCTCGCGAGTCGAGCTTGCCGGAGCATCAACGCGCGCTGCCGGTTCCTCTCGATTTTAGCCCGCATCGCTGCAGAAAGCTCGGGTTTAGGACTCTGCTCTGGGTCGGGACCAGCAGCGTCCACCCCTTCTGACTCTGAGCGATTCATGTTGTCACCGCATGGAAATGAATGACGCCACTCTACAAACCGATCGTTGTTATGGTCCATACAAAGCGCAGCGCCAGATTGTTGTTACAAAAGTGACAGCTGCACGCTTCCGGCTGCGACTTCTTCTTCCTTTTATCTTAAACTTGTAGGTGTATTGCCGCCCCCTTGCGGCCTTATGAGGCTACTCGCTAGTGCTACATTTATGTTCTGGTTAATAACACCAAACTAATGTCAGTATAAGGCGGTGTACCAATACATACTTATTCATATATAGGTATTGGGAAACAAGGTGTAAAGCTATGGAATAAGGGGGTATCAATTCGCGATCTTACAAAGATCTCATACTGTAGTTATTCTTTAACTAATCTAGGACATATAAGTACATTTAATTAAGTACTATACTTAAGTAGCCTATATTTTTCAAGTAACTGTATTTTACTTGAATTTTTTTTTTGGGGGGGGGGATTACTTTTACTCCACCCCACTTGAAGACAAATATTATACTTTTTGACTCCTCTACATTTTTATGAAGTACTCTTAATTTGAAGCAGCTTTTCATCTGTGGAATGAATTTTATTTTATTTTGAAAATTTGATAGACCATACACTGTGTTCATAACACTGTCAATCATGTTGTTTTGCTGCATTTGCATTTTTGAGCAGCTCAGTTTGAACTTGGCAGTGGCTGGTATAACAATTTTTGAAAAGAAATAATGAAATAATGAAAGATTCTTTTTGTTTTAAATATTTGCTGTGTTTTCCAACAATGGCTCCTTTTGATGATTCAGTTGTCTTTCAGGGTCATTTCAATTAGTTTTTTTTATCATATTCTCAAGGCCGGCCCATGGCTACCAGGGGGCCCCCAAGAGCGCTTGAAATGCCCCAGAATGCCCCAGGAGATCTTATATATATATATTTTAACACTAGGGCCGCTAGCATTCTAGCACTCATAGACACCACAACAGTCTGCCAGACCTTCATAATTACATTGTTTGGGCTCTCAAGGGGTTCTGCTCAAGCAGCGGAAAAAATAGATACTGTTCAGTAGTATTAATATTAGCTAATTAATTTGTTTATTTGGAGGCTAAAACTGTCAGATAGGCCTAGAGAAGTAAATAAGAAGACATCACAGTAGAGAAGAATTGGTAACTATCCAATTGTCAATCAATGTTTTTCCATGTCTAGCCTACAGTATGAGAAGCCGCCTAGGCCAAAACTGAAAACTTCACTTGCACATGATATGACTTTTTATGTCTTACTACAGTATGACGTTTTTATGCCTTACTATATTATGATGTCTTTATTAATTTTTTGACATTTTTTGACATTTTTATGCCTTGTTATACTATGACATTTGAGGACTTATGACATTATTATACCTTACTATACTATGACATCTTTTGTCATTTTTATGCCTTACTATACTATGACTTTTTTATACCCATACTGTGATGTTTTTATTCCTTACTATAGTATGACATTTTATGCCTCACTATACTGTGACTTTTTTATGTCTTATTACATTATGACATTTTATGCCTTAACATACTATTATGTTTTATTTGTTTTACTATTCTATGACGGTTTTATGACGTTTTCTTATGTGCTGTTAAAGTATGACATGTTTTATGCCTTACTACACTATGGCGTTTTTATGCTTTATTATATTATGATGTTTTTGTCTTTATACTATGACAATTTCATGTCTTACTATATTGTGAATTGTTATGCCTTACTATACTATGACATTTTTATGACGTTTTTTATGCTTTACTACATTAAGATGTTTTAATTACGTTTTTTATGCCTTACCATACTATGATGTTCTTATGACTTACTGTACTATGACGTTTTTATGAATTACTATACTATAACTTTTTAAGTCTTACTATAATGTGACTTTTTTTAATTATACTGACGTTTTTATCTTACGATACTATGACATTTTAATGAGATTTTTTATGCCTTACCATACTATGATGTTCTTATGACTTACTATACTATGCCGTTTTTATGACTTTTTTATGACTTACTATACCATGACGTTTTCATAACAGTTTTTATGCCTAACTATACTATAACTTTTTCTGCCTTAATATAAGGTGATGTTTTTATACCTTACTATACTATGACATTTTTAAACATTTTTTTTACCTTAATATACTATGACATTTTTTTTATGCGCTATTATAATATGATGTGTTTTATGCCTTACTACACTATAACGTTTTTATGCTTTATTATACACTGTTGCTCATAAAGTTCGAATAAAATATTTTTTACCTCTTTCCATGAAACGATTGTGACAATGTGATTTATTTCATTTCACCTGGGTAATTGGGACACATAATGTAATCATTGCACCTGGTCAAAAGTGATTACTGATGCATTTAAATAGGAATAAAGAGAGGATTTTGTCTAAAAACAAAATTATTCCAACTTTATGGGAAACAGTGTACTATGATGTTGTTGTCTTTATGCTATGACAATTTTATGCATAACTATATTGTGAATGTTTATGCCTTACTATACTATGACATTTTTAAACATTTTTATGCCTCACTATACTCTGACATTTTTTGACATTTTCATGCCATACTATACGATGACATTTTTTTACATTTTTATGCCTTACTATACTATGACATTTTTTGACATCTCTATGCCTTACTATAGTATGACTTTTGATGTCTTGTCATAGTATGACATTTTGATGTCATACTATACTATGACATACGGGATTCGAACCGGGTCCGATGTGGCAAGGACTGTAGTCTCTACATGTGGGGCGCCTGCTCAACCCACTGCGCCACTCGACACCCAACTATAACATGACTTTTGTCGACTTGTCATAGTATGACATAGTATGACATTGTTATGCCTTATTATACTATCACGTTTTTTTGATATTTTTATGCCTTACTATACAATGATTGTTGACGACTTTGTCATAGTATCACATTTCTATGGCTTACTATACTATGACGTTTTTTGACATCTTCATGCCTTACTATACTATGACATTTTTTGACATTTTTATGCCTTATTATACTGTGAAATTTTTAACATTTATATGCCTTACTATACTTTGACTTTTGACGACTTGTCATAGTATGACATTGTTATGCCTTATTATACTATCACATTTTTTTTGACGTCTCTATGCCTTAGTATACTATGACTTTTGACGACTTTGTCACAGTATTACATTTTTATGACTTACTATACTATGACCTTTTTTGACATTTTAGCCTTACTATACTATGACATTTTTTGACAAATTTATGCCTATTGACGACTTATCATAGTATGACATTTTTATGCCATACTATACTATGACTTTTTTTGACATTTTTATGCCTTAATATACTATGACATTTTTTGTCATTTTTATGCCTTACTACACAATGATTTTTGACGACTTGCAATATTATGACATTTTTTGACATTTTTATGCCTTACTATACTATGACTTTTGATGTCTTGTCATGGTATGACAGTTTTATGCCTCACTATACTATGACGTTTTTTTTTTTAATTTTTATGCCTTACTATACTATGACATTTTTTGTCATTTCTATGCCTTACTATACTTTGACTTTTGACGACTTCAAATATTATGACATTTTTTGACATTTTTTTGCCTTACTATAGTATGACATTTGATGTCTTGTCATAGTATGACATTTTGATGTCATACTATACTATGACATTTTTTAACATTTTTATACCCTTCTGTACTATGACTTTAGACAACTTATAACAGTATGACATTGTTGTGCCTTACTAAACTATCACGTTTTGTTGACATTTTTATGCCCTATTATACTATGACTTTTAACGACTTGTCATAGTATGACATCTCTAGGCCTTACTATACTATGACGTTTGACGACTTGCAATATTATGACATTTTTTGACATTTTTATACCTTACTATACTATGACATTTTTTGTCATTTTTATGCCTTACTATACTATGACTTTTGATGACTTCCAATATTATGACATTTTTTGACGTTTTTTTGCCTTACTATAGTATGACTTTTGAAGACTTGTCATAGTACGACATTGTTATGCCTTATTATACTATCACGTTTTTTTTTACATCTCTATGCCTTAGGATACTATGACTTTAGACAACTTATAACAGTATGACATTGTTGTGCCTTACTAAACTATCACGTTTTGTTGACATTTTTATGCCCTATTATACTATGACTTTTAACGACTTGTCATAGTATGACATCTCTAGGCCTTACTATACTATGACGTTTGACGACTTGCAATATTATGACATTTTTTGACATTTTTTTGCCTTACTATATAATGATTTTTGATGTCTTGTCATAGTATGACATTTTTATGTCTTACTATACTATGACATTTTTTTGACATTTTTATGCCTTACTATACTATGACTTTTGACGAGTTGCAATATTATGACATTTTTTGACATTTTTATGCCTTACTATACTATGACTTTTGATGTCTTGTCATGGTATGACATTTTTATGCCTTAATATACTATGACATTTTTTGTCATTTTTATGCCTTACTATACAATGATTTTTGACAACTTGCAATATCATATTTTTTGACTTTTTTTTGCCTTACTATGGTATGACTTTTGATGTCTTGTCATAGTATGAGATTTTTATGTCATACTAATCTAAGATATTTTTTGACATTTTTATGCCCTATTATACTATGACTTTTAACGACTTGTCATAGTATGACATCTCTAGGCCTTACTATACTATGACGTTTGACGACTTGCAATATTATGACATTTTTTGACATTTTTATACCTAACTATACTATGACATTTTTTTTTTTTTAAAGTATATTTTTCTTTTATTTTTATGCCTTTATTAGATAGCACAGTAGAGAGAGACAGGAAATGGGGATGCAGACAGAAGGGGAACAAAATGCAGCAAAGGGCTGTCCGATACGGGATTCGAACCGGGTCCGACTGTGGTCTCTACATGTGGGGCGCCTGCTCAACCCACTGCGCCACTCGACGCTCAACTATAGTATGACTTTTGTCGAATTGTGATAGTATAAAATTTTTAGGCTTTACTATACTATGACGTTTTTT